CCAGCACTTTTAAACTGTTCCCATTTCAGTTCACTGATCCAAACTATCAAATATTACAACTTCCTACTTTGTAGTTTACTGGTCTGTACACAAAACATGGCAGCAATGATCCTTCTATCTGCCAGCTTTAGGTCACATCCTCTGCTTCCCTTGAGAAATGGCATTCTCACAGAAAGAATGAAATTTCTCTTGGACAACTGAATTTGAAACTTTTAAACTGGTATCAAAGTGAACTTATCCCCGAACTTCATGACATATTTCTCCTTAATACAATAAAACATGACAACAATGTGATAGAAGGAATGACATGTCACTTGCAAAATGATTATGATAAGTAAAACCTCTAAACCAGTAGGGGAGGTGGGGTAGCCTAATGGTTAAAGCGTTGTCTCGTCACGCCGAAGACCCGGGTTCGAATCCCCACATGGGTACAATGTGTGAAGCCCATTTCTGGTGTGCCCCGCCGTGATCTTGCTGGAATATTGCTAAAAGCGGCGTAAAACCAAACTCAGTCAGTCAGTCTTAACCAGTAAGAGAATCAAGTTTCGTATCATCAATTGGTCAACCAGGAACTTTTTTTATTGTTTACAATTCTACTTGCGACAGAGTTACTATGAGGTGACAGGCAACTCTCGACAGACACTGACAGACACATGACAGACATTTTTATTTTATTATAGGATATTTATATAGTGCACACATCCACGTAACTTAACAAGCTCAAGGTGCTTCAGTGTTCCCTTGATTAACAGATGTCTATTTTTCTGGCATTCTTTTAACCAACTCAACTCCCTGGGGAGTATTCAACTAATGCAGCCTGTTAGGCCCAGCGAGTTATCACACAGCCTCATCCTCACAAGGTACCCATTTGCAGCTGGGTGAACTGGAACAAACAGTATGTGTCCAATGAGACATGTGACAGACATGTGACCAACACTTGGCAGACATACTTGCCTCTCAGCAGTGACAAGTCAACACCTCTCAACAAGAGCAGAGTAACTCAATGTGACTAATAGAGGTATCAAATATTGATGGGCACATATAATAATCAATAGTCATTAACACATCGCAGGTACGGTACATTGCATCAATTTGACATGCTTCACCGGTATTGTGACCTTCCTGACTGTACCATGGTACACATACTTAATGGAGACCTTATCCTACAGCATTCCTATAGCCATATTAACGAGGAAGTACATTAACTGGACGTCAACATATTTATTCTCCTTGAGAGTTCCTTCCTATACAGGCACCAGTACACTTTGCCAACACTTGACAAGCATCTTGTGTACATCTGGGCCCTTATTCTCAAAACGTTCTTAGCCCTAAGAATTCTTAACTTTGATCGTAGCCAATGTGTTAAGAATGGGCTTAAGAAGTTCGTAGGGCTACGACCGTTTCGAGAATAGCTAGCCTAATGAAGGCTGGGAGGCCCAAAGCTTGATATTTCTTATGTTTATATATTCAATGATTGACACTTCTTGTGGTTAGTCCATGAATTTCCATCTGGTAATGAGACTGTGTTAAAACAATGTCAGAGTTCATATTTGTTATAGGTTAATCTACAAATGTTTCACATTTTGACCAATAAATTAACGAATGTGAAATGTGTTGTCAATCATGTTTTTAAGATCACAATGAACTGATATTTACATTTTTATCCAAATTCATAAAAAAGAAGTTGTTTGGCAGGCATGCAAATAAGCTTTCAACAAATGTACTTCACATGAAGAAGGTCTGTCTGTTTTCACTATGTGCATGGTGTATGTACATATTTTACCCAGCAAGAGTCATGATAATGGCTGAAATATTGCCGATATGACTTTAAATATTAACTCACTCACTCGGTTATCAAGTAAGGAGGAAGTGATCATGGCATTATGTCCCTTTCAGCAATCTTCCAACAACATCATGACAGGGGGCTTCAGTTAGTCCTCACATGATTTTCCCATGTGACGATTTAAACATAGGCCTTGAGTGTGACGAGCATACTTTTGAGATTCCGTAAAAGATAAAGGAATACACATAACGCTCCAGGTGACAATGAAAATCTAAGTCTACCTGTTTTATGGCATATACGATATATGTTTATAATCTCCAAACTCACACGCATGTTTGAGAACAAGTGTTGAATCATCTTCCATAGGTAATATGATGGTCACAGATAAGTTCCTATGTAAAAATTGTACTGAGCTATACAGTGAATGTGTCAGGGTTTTAGCATTATTCCAAGGGTGGCGTAGCTAGTGGTTAAATGTTCACTCATCATGCCGAAGACCCGGGTTCAATTCCCCACATAGACCTGTACAATGTGTGAAGCACATTTCTATTGTCTCCTGCCATGATATTGCTGCAATACTGCTAAAAGCGGCGGAAAACTAAACTCACTCACTCACTAGCGACATTCCAGCAATGTCACGGCATAGGAATAGGTAGACACATTGTACCCATGTGGGAGGCAAACTCGGACCTTTTGTGTAATGGGCATACACTATACCCACCAGGCTACCTGACTGACTGACTGACTGAGTTTGGGTTTATGCCTCCAGCAACATCACGGGGGGACACCAGAAATGGGCTTCACACATTGTGCCCATGTGATTCGGTGGTCTTCGCTGACATCAACCATTAGGCTACTCCAGGCTACCTGAACTTTCCTCAGAGGTGTTGAATAGTCTATGACTGACATCACTAAACTGTCCAGATACAGACATCTAAAGCTCTGCTACACTGAAGTACAGGAAATTGCACTGCAAGGAACCGGACAGCACTAACTCTATCAAAATGGCAGACGTCTGGTCCAGGTCAAGCAGTGCATCGCCACTGAGTTAAATAATCTTAAGCACAAAAATGTTATTTCTGACTTCACCTTAGCCACAAGATAACCCAACTGTGCCCTTTCTTTGTGTGACACCAGTAATGGGTCTCACACATTGCACCCTTGTTGTTGGGACTCACCATGACAGGCAAAGTGACAAGGTGACCACATTCAACTCACTTATGTCCAACACCCAAATTGGCTCACACGTTGCTCCTTTGTTTGGAATCAAACCCAGGTCTTTGCAAAGATAGGTCAACACACTAACCACTCCACTCCACTCCACTTCCAGGTCTTCACCATGATGAGCTCTACCTTACCCCCAGGATATCCCATGTCAACCTTCTATGTCCTACACCAGAAACAGAACCATGATGGGAATCAAACTCTGGTCAGCACCATTATGAACCAACACATGAACCACTACACTGCCTCACAGCAACCTTAATATGTCTGTCATCAGAATTAGGACAATATTTGGAATCAAAGCCACATCTTTCCCACACCAACCACCCCTTTAGTAGTTCCATGCCTCCTCCCAGTGCAAGATTGTCATCATTTCAGAAGTGTTGGCATGGGAGACGCAACACACTAATTAGCAGACAGGAATGACCTGACTGTACGCAATGTTTGCAGTGACTGCACAACAATGATGCTATCCAATGATGTTCAATAATGTACAGGTCTGGAACCTCTGATGACTGGCAGCAAACAAAGCACTACCACAGTAGTTCACACCTTCCTCGTTGTACAAGAACTGTCCTTGTTCATGTGTAAACGCGAAGTAAAAAACTCAAATACATCGAACAAAGTAGGCAGGTTTCGGATCAGTTCATTTTATAGGATGTTGATTGATTCTCATCAGGAATCTTGTGAAGATATTTTTTATTTTTTGGTTACAGGTACAGAGGCTTGTCTTAGCAAATTTGTAAATCCATAAATTGTTCAGTAGTTATTATGACTTTATCTTCAGAAAACTCATTGATCATGCTGAAGATGATTCAGTTGACAAAACACCTCAACTCTTGCAAACTGTTTCTATGTGTCAAAAAATCTATAATTTTCTAGTTCAATATGCTGAGAAAAATTAATTACTTTTTTCTAAAAAATGTTCTCTTAAGCAGTGTCAGCATGAAATTAAATGTAAGAAAAATGTCTCTGTCAATGTTAGAATTTAAATAAATTGACCTGAAATACATACAGGTCAAGGTCAAAGTAATACAAAACACATAACTATAATTTACCATTTTACTGATAAAACTAAAAGCAAAAAAATTCAGATAATTAAAAAAAAATATCTGACAACTATTTTCTGCACATGAAATGTAAACGTAGATAGAAATGCAACTTCAACTCTCATCACAATACACTGGCAGAGAATTATCATGGAATAATAATTCATACAAAATTCATTATTCATTATTACCACTACAAGCAATATATTAGGATTCAGATATTAGGAAAATATAAATATAGAATATTAGTAATAGCTTAGAGAAAGACCCCAGTCAAAAGTTGTAAAACTCATCTCACAGACATATTATTGAAAAAGGTATAAGTTACGGCTTACACAATTTCAAGATAAAATCCTAGCCTAAGGTACTGAGGATTCAAGCTGTTAGCAATCCTTTTCAGTAATTCAGAGTTATGACCAGACAATTAAATGAATCTATTGTAATCCAAGCACCTGTAATTGACACATCAGATTAGTCTCATGAGATCATAGCCCAGGGTAAGCATCCAAGCATCCAGTAAAAGTGCCATCGAGATTAGTGCCAGTTAAAATAGGATTAACAGGATTAAGAGTAATTGCCCTGTCTGGTCATTGAAGGACACACCCCATTTTGTATATTCTGTATTTGATAGGCTAATGTAGGTTACACCCATTTTTGTATCAGTGAACCAATCGTAATCTCTTTATTGTTTTGATAGTAGATAAAATGTCTCTAACTGCATTTGTCCAGCAGTAGGGTTTAGACTCCTAACACAGGTCAGCTCTAGCCCTCAGCCCAGAGGGTTGTAACCTGACTCTCTGTGGCCAGCCCATGTTACTCCGCTCTTGTAAATAAAATTGTGATTAGCTTCTTGTGACTTCGGACTCTTTGCTGAGCTTAATTCCCCAAGCAAACCAGCACGCCAGTTAGATAAGGGTTTCACTGAACCATCACTTGGACCCAAGACCCATATCATAATAGTTGGCGGAGAATCAACGATTTTCGGAACCTCGGAGCCCAGGAACTAACTACAACCAGCTACAAGAACACATGGAATAACAAGCAACTGCATCCACGTCTGATCTCAACACTGGATTAAGGACCACCAACTCCTGTAAAGACACCAACCAAGGAAGAAAAAGTCTTCAAAAATTGTAAGTACTACTTTACATTGTTGATTTCTTGTCTTTTCTTAATTATAGCACGGTACATACTATAAGGTGTCATGGCCAATATGGAGTCTGGTATGGAAAGTAACTGTGGAAGTGAAATTCCAACTGTGTCCTTAGTTACCCCTTGCCAAAAGTGTAATTCAGGTAACATTTGGCACTGAAACAACTACTTGTTTAATAGATACAGGGCATCCATTTGCTGCATTTCGTCCTGCTTTTCTAAACAAAGCTTTCAACAACCCTGTTCTTGGAAACTCACCCTTTCCACAAATTCAAGGTGTTGGCGGCGAATTGCACAAGGTGTTGGGTTCAGTTGTGTTAGATTTTGTCATTGAAGATCAAGAATTTTCACAAAAAAATTCTATGTCCTGCCCCTCATTACCTAAGTCAGTCCTACTAGGTGAGAACTTCCTCAATGACAACGATGCAGTCATAGATTATAGCTGCCATTCCCTCATAATAGGCAACAGCACCCTCAGATAGGGCAATATATCAATTTCATTGCCCATCCAGATCAAGAAATTTGGGGATTAGCAAAACAATAGATCAGATATATATTCCCCTCAGAGTGAAATTCATTTCTAAGGTAAGACTGCCTGAGGCAAACAATGATTCCCTCATCCCTCATTGAACCAATTGCCTCCCTCACTGCTCATTCTGAAGTAGCAGGTGGTAGGACCCTCTCGAAAGTGCATAAGAAAAACTGCTACATTTAGGCTTATGAATCCTTCCCAAGAAGAAAAGTTTTAGATAAGGGTACAGTTGTAGGAAAATTTAGTTACATTGACAGCCACTCTATCTTTGAAAAAATGACTGTGACCAACCCTTTAATAAATTCAGTTAACACTGACATTAAGACAACAGACAATGACACTAGGGATTATGTCAAAATTGCTCAAGACTTAGGATTTGACTTGACTAAGACACAACTGACGTCAGGCCAACAACAAAGACTACTCAGGTTTTAGGACAAAACAGAGACATGTTTTCCACAAGCCTTGCAGATTTAGGGAAACTGATATGCAAAGCATGTCATTGACACAGGCAACCATCCCCTGTTAAAGTGTAGGCCTTATCGTCAATCTCCTCATCTCCAAAAGTCACAGAAGAACTTGTTGAAGATTTTCTCAAATATGATTTAATAGAGGAGTCCACTTCAATGTATTCAGCCCCCATCATCTTAGTTAAAAAACGTGACGGCACATATAGATTTGTTTGTGACTACAGAAAATTAAATTCTGTCACATTACCCATGTCATGGCCACTCCCTGTTTTTGACGATGTTGTTGATCACATCGGCAATAGCCAAGCTACAATTTTTCCACGTTAGATCTTGCCAATGGCTTCTTCCAAGTGCCATTACACGAAGACTCAAAGCATAAAACTGCTTTTGTCACCCATCAAGGCCTTTATCAATTCAAACGTTTGCCCCAGGGTTTGTCTAATTCTCCACTTTGTTTTCAGCAACTCATGAGCAAAGTGCTGTTGAAAAAATTGCTTTTCAAAGTTGCATTGATTTACATTGATGATTTGATAATCTACAGCAAAAACTTTGAAGAACATCTCCAACATTTGAGCAAGTCTTTTACTATCTCAAACAGGCAAAATTAACACTGAAGCCATCAAAATGCAATTTTGCAACAGACAAGGTTTCATTTCTTGGTCATGTTTTTATCATGTGAGGTGTTCAAGTTGATGACAAAAAGGTCGAAGCAATTAAAACCTTCCCTTGATACCTAAATCACAAAAACAGGTTCGCCATTTTTTAGGCCCCACAAACTTTTACAGAAAGTATGTGAAAGATTATGCGAAAATAGCACTGCCATTGAATGCATTGTTAAAAAAGCATTCAGAGGCAGAAACTGGTAAGAAACCAAAGTTCCAGTGGTCACTTGGGTGTGATCAGGCTTTCAACACACTCAAAGATGCTATGTGTAACACACCTGTTCTGGCTTATCCAGATTTTGACAAAGAATTTTTTCTCGCAACTGATGCCAGCGATATGAGCATAGGGTTTGTCTTAAGTCAAAAGGACGAGAAAAATAATGAACATCCTATAGCTTTTGGAGGCAGAGCTCTTCACGGCAGCGAGAAGAATTGGAGCATCACAGAAAAAGAAGGTTTAGCTTTAGTAGAAGCCATTAGATCATTTCGCCCATACCTTGCAAATTCCAAATTCACTGTCTACACAGACCACATCGCCTTAAAATGGCTCAAATCCATCAAGGATGCCACAGGTAGGTTAGGGCGATGGTCTTTAGAACTTAATCTACCTACACTTTTGATATTGTTCATCGTAGCGGCAAAGCCAACGGGAATGCCGATGCGCTCTCACGCAGGGAATATGAGCAAAATATTAACTGTCAGAGTCAAACAGAAGAAGATGCTGAGAAAACCGTCTTTACAGTAACTTCACTTGAGCAAAGAGGCCATACCAACAATTCAGCAAGCCCGCAATTATCCTCACAGGTCACCCAATCAACTCAGACTGAGGATGATTGTATCCCAAGTATTAATCACTTAGATAGTGAATCACAGACAACTCATTTGTCTGTCACATTTGAATATGAAGAGGACTACCAAACAGTACCAGCAAACGTTGTTGCAGCATTACATGCTACAAGTGATGATGTCACACAAGCCACAATGGTTGAGGTAAATATTAATGCACATCCCAACTTACGTCATCTACAAAGAATTTGTCCAGATTTTACCAAAATTTTTGACTACAAAGAAGATGATGTCCTTCCAGAAAAATGAAAAGGACCGCCAAAAGGTCCTTATTGAAGCAGGCAACTTTGAAATAGATGAAGGAATCCTATACAGATTTGTTCCACAGAGACAGAAGGGTCATGCGGACAAATTCATTAAACAGCTCGCAGTTCCAAGAACTCTCAGGAACCAGGTCCACCTGATCCTACCACGATTCTGAGTTTGGCGGTTGTCACCATGGAAAGGAAAGGATGCACAACACCATGAGACCAAAATACTACTGGCCAAAGATGTACACCGAAATTGCAACGTATGTCCAGACATGTGAAGTGTGTCAACAGACCAAGAGGCATTACCACAGCAAGAAGGCACCCTTCGTCCATTACCTGTGGAAGAGGTCTTCACCAGGTGGCATGTAGATATCCTTGGTCCCTTGCCAACAACACCAGACAAGTACAAGCACATTTTGGTCATCACCGATGCAGCATCTAGATGGTGTGAAGCCTTTCCCCTGAGAACCCAAGAAGCCACTGAGGTAGCAGATGTTCTCGTGAGAGAAATATTTTGTCGGTATGGCGCTCCAAGGACCTTAATTTCAGACAGAGGTCAGAACTTCATGTCAAAATTAATCAAGGCTATTTGTGAACTTTTGGCTATCAAATTCACTCATACCAGCCCATACCATCCCCAAACAAATAGCTGTGTAGAAAGGCTCAATTCCTACATCAATCAATCACTAAGAGCCTATTGTAACAAAACTCAAAATGATTGGCCCCGGTTTCTTCCAGGCATCATGATGGCCTATCGGATGGCCCCAAATTCATCAACTCAAAAGTCCCCTTTTGTTATGCTTTTCGGCCGAGAAATGAGAGCCCCACAAGATGTTTCGTTAATTCCAAAGGAAAATTTAGGCCACAACAACAAAAGCTATCTTTCAAATTTGCTTGAGGAGCTAGAAATTACAAGGACAATTGCAGCGGAAAACACTGCTCGAGCAAAGGAGGTGTATTCCGAGCAATACAATCGTAAGGCTAAAGAGCCAGATTTCTCCCCAGGTCAAAGAGTATGGCTATATTGTCAAAAGGTAGAAAAAGGCCTCTGCAACAAGTTAACCAAAAAGTGGTATGGCAGTTATTACATTGTTCATTTAGGTCCAAATTTCACCTACAAACTACGCCGAAGTTCTGACGACAAAGTGCACAAACCATTGGTCCATGCCAACCGTCTGAAGCCATATTTCGATCCAGCTGATCGTCCACAGTATCCACCAGAACCATACCTGAACAACAGCAACAATATGGATTCAAACGTCATAGATGACAATGAGGAACCAATCAACGATCCACAACTTTGACAGCAACAATGCAGAGTCAACAAGTTCAACCCAGGATCCATCACCTACAAGTAAGGAAGTCAGTTCAAAAACTAAGGCAGGAAATCCAAGGAATCTAACTCAAAAAGAAGAAAGGCATTCAGGAAAGCTCAGCAGGATCAAAGTACAACTGTTCCAAACCAGAAACAGAGCCCCCAGGTCCAAGTAACCCAACCAAGAAGAAAGGAAATACAAACAAGGGAAAAGAGGGACTGAACAGCAAACATCATCAGCCAAAGTCAAGGCCACAATCAGGATCAAGTCAGGTTCAACAACCAGCACAACAACCAGCGTCAAGCAATGACGCCAAGGTTTTCAATCCTGATGACATTCACTCAATTCTTGCTTCCAAGAGAGCAAACAACAAAATATACTACAGAGTGAAATGGACGGATCCAGAAAGAGGAAACACATGGGAATATGGCAGCACCATTCCAGACTCAATTCGGAGAGAATTTCACGTCAAGAAAAAAATATGTCAGGAAAACGACGAAACGGCCACTGAAAAATCACAAGTTCTTTAACCAAAAGAGTCAGCACAAGACAATCAATCAGTCAATGTGCTGTCAAAGAAATTCAAACAGCAATCGACCATTACAGACCCAGTATTGGACGTTGAACCATACCCAATAGAACCTAAACACCTACGAAAAATCTTTCCAGATATAAAGAGAGTTCTGAGCATTGAAATAGTTCAAGGAGACTGTTATGTCAAAGTCTCATATACCTATGACAAAAAGTAGTCTTAGATATAATACAGTGTATTTAGAAGCTGTTCCTCTCCACCTCATACAGGATTACCTCAATGAGAGCTGGTTGGATCTCTATAAATGGATGGATCCTGACACCCCAGAGGATTGTGATCGTCCCTGGTGTATTACTCCATCTATGAATCCAAACGCTCTCCAGCATACAAAGAAGGCATCGGAACTTTTGACTCCTTTGCATACCGTGCAGTGCCCAAGGATTACAGACCCACCATACCATACCAATATTCCTTCCCATTATATACCTGT